TATAATATATATATGCTGGGATGATACCTGGAATAACAGAGTAGAGCCAATTGTAGGAACAAAAATGCAGGCAAGACAGAAGCAAGAAAGAAACTGAAAAAGATTCATTTTTGTGAATTATTGGTTTAAACCCAGATGAGGAGAAGCAGCGGTGAGATTAGGGGAGTTATTTAGACTTTGGATTGACACTCAGACTAGTTGTGCATTAGAAAAGTCTGGTTTCACACCCTGTTGAGATGAGCCTTTTTGGGTTTAGACTTTAAGAGGAAATTTCGCATTTATTGGAGACAGGACTTATTCTTTCCCCAAATACAAACAAGACTTATTTCTTAGTACTGTATTAGATTGATGAGAGATATTAATTGTTGATTTCCAGCTTCAATTCGTGTTGGTTTCTCCTACTGCAAAGTCTTTTCCACGTGCATTATAATCAACTCTCCCTTGCGATCTTGTATTTTGACAATTGGGAACGAGTTGCGTCAGGAAAATTTTATTCATCACATCATTTTCCTACAATACACACTACAAAATTCATACACAATATAAAATAATAATTTTTAATATTTAAATTTAAATGGAATATATATTACCAAATAATGATATTTTTATATGACTCCATAAAATAGGTTTCAAAAAAATATGACTCCTTAAAATAATTTAAAATGAACAAAAAATTGAGAAAAAGAATATCTGTTCATCTCTAATAATAGCTAGTGTTTCATGTGCAATGTACATCTCAATGACGTATAACTTGAACACGAGTGCATTGGTTTCATTTATTGGGAAAATATTGAAGATGATATCATTTGAACTCCATTTAGAACAACATATAAAAAAGCATCATTTCATATATTCATACAGAAAACTGACCAATGTTTCTATCGATTAGCAATAGCGAATTTTCCAGCAATGACTCAGACCTAAGAACTTGATAAAAATGTCATTAAACTATAAGATACTCCGTACTTGACAGTTTCAGCACTTGTTATATACGTACCCTAAATTTTGTATACGAGAACCAAAGCCTTTTTACATAGCTAGATTAGAGGTTATTTGTTTTGTATCTTATACATACTATCAAAAACATATATAAATTAAAAATAAAAATAAATGATGGGCCCAAAATAACTCTCTATGGCCCTAACCAAGCTCAATGGCAATTTATATCCTACACCACGGCGCGCGTTGCACTATGCGCCCAGATGCAAAACGACGTCGTTTTAATTTATTTATTTTTTTGAATTTTCCGCCCCAGTGAATGGCAGTAGTTTTTTCTTTAAAAAAAAAAAACCGCTGTTCAAGAATGTACATAATGTTATACTAGAATACACATAATTGTATACATGAATGTACATAATTATATAACAAAATATACAACTCTTTTTAAAAGATAATACACATAATATAACATAATACATAATAAACATAAACTTTTAACATAATACACATCAACTATTAACATAATACACATCAACTATTAACATAATACACACAAATTTTCTGATTCGGATGTACATAATTGTATAAAAAGAATGTACATAATTGTATAAAAAATGTACATAACTGTATGAACCAATACACATAACTGTGTGAACAAATACACATAATCCCAGCAACTTCCTACCGCGCCTCCCAAAACGACCCCAAAACGACGTCGTTTTGAGAGGCGCGCGGCGCACAGTGCTATGTGCGCCGTGGTGTAGGGTATAACGATTGAAGCTCAATACATTTTGGTCCCGTTAGAAAATTTCAAATGACTACGCGTTAGTGTTGATTGGGGAAGAGTGGGATGACTCCATGTTTGATTCTTTCAACAGTGCTTAAAATAGTGGAATGCATCCACATTCACATTATATTGTCTTGGTGTTCAATTTGTACAAGAAAATGACACAAAGTTCATAGTGGTTGCGTGGAAAATGATTTCTCAACGATGGAGATGGATACTCATACTGGCTAATTAGCACCTAGTCCTTGTTGTATAGGACCATAGGTAAGCGATGACGTTGATTGTAATTTTTTTTTTTTTTACGTTACATTTATTTAGAGACTAATATAATAGTTGATTGTTTTAAGAGTAAATATCTACCAGGACTATGTGGTCTAATGGTATCCGGGTTGGACTTCCATTTGAAAGGTTGTAAGTTCAAGTCTCAGTGGAGGCGTTATTTTGGTTCTTTGTGTTTCAGTAGGTTGAGAAAGTATATGAACAGATACTACAATGTAATAGGGCCAGTAACATCCAAAAAAAGAGTAAATATCTAAAATGGTCCCTCGACTATAGCTAAATTCACAAATTAGTTCTCAACTTTCAATTTCAACCAATTAAGTCCTTAACTTTGCAATTTTGACACGATTTGGTCCTCCATCTATTTGACCGTTTGTTGACCATGATTGACGATCTATAGAAAAACCTTCAACTCTCGTCGGAGCACGTGGAGGCCTCCAGGATGACGTTGCACCGGTTCGGAAACACGTCATCTTCTTCGCTCTGATACGAACTCAACTACATTGAATACAAAGGGGGGATGGAGAAAGGCGACCAGATTTAGTAGATTGCTTTCGGTAGTGGATTCGAATGTAACAGTGCGGTCTGTAAATGCAACCGGAACCTTAAAAAATCGATGATGGACCATGAAATTACATATATATTCTCAAAAATCACAGTCAAAAAACGGTCAAATAGACAGAGGACTAAAGGACTAAATTGTGTTAAATTTATAAAGTTAAGAACTTAATTGGTTGAAATTGAAAGTCGAAGACCAATTTGTGAATTTAGCTATAGTCGAGGGACCATTTTAAGTATTTACTCTTGTTTTAACTTTGCCATATTTGTATTGTCCTATTCTTTGTTCATAATATTTCTTTTCTTTTGCGTTACATTTATTTAGCAACTAATAGAATAACTGATTGTCTTTTCTTCGATGTATTTGCTTTGCCTTATTATATTCTTTGTTCATAATTTGTAATAGCTTTGAGAGTTTAGTCTGCACTTACAAGCTTACCACTTTTTATATTTAGATAATTGGATAATATGTAAATTGATTTTATTGGCTTCTATATAATATATTTGTTTGTTTTAGGAAAAAAAAGGTTCAATTTTCTTGAGGAAAATAGAGATAATGGACACATAAATGTATTTTATAAATTGAAAACAAAACAAAATGAAAAAGAAAAGGAGAGAGTTAGGCATAAAATATTGAGTAACGAAGTCTTACATAAAAATTAATAAAGTTAATTTTTTTTTTTGTCCTAAATTTATATGTGACATTCCATTTTTAGACTTTTATTTTACAATATCTCATTTGATCTTAGTATTATTGTGACATAATTATTTTTGATCATTTATCAACAAAATCGTTCAAATGCCTTAAATACAGGAATATTTCAGTCTTTAAATAGGAATTTTTCAACAAAATCAAAATATAAATATAGCGGCCAACCCACTTTGTATTAAAAAAAAAAAAATCTAAATGTCCTTATATTTAATGTCATTCCAACGATTTTTTTGATGGATGACTAAAAATGGTTATGACATAATAATACTATGACTAAATGTAGATGTTCTAATTAAAAAAAAAAAAAAAAGACTAAAAGTAGACTGTTATCTATAAATTTAAAATAAAAAATATAATTAACTAAATTAATAATAATAAAATACTGGTCATGTCATATATGTATGTTTTCAGCAATAATTAGATGCGAGCATGCGTATTGAGCTCAACTTGTTCCTTTCTTCTTCCTTTTTTAGTTGTTCAAAAGTATCCCTCCAATCGATAACCAGAAAATTAATCCAACATCCCTACTGTCAATATATTAATGACATATTTGATTCATAGAATAGGTCAGAAATGGAATGACATTCCTTGAAATAGACCCCTAAAAATGTCAGCACACTAACTTGTTCCTTTCTAGATTCTCATAATGGGTCAATTGACTATTGCCACTGTTTTGACCGTGGGTCAATGATCATTTGGCATGTCAAGTTGGATAAGTCCATCTTTGAGCCATATGACATTTTTTCAATACAGTATATCAAATGTTAAAACTCCAATGGAAGAAAATAAAACCAAAAAAAAAAAACAAAACAAAAACAAAAACAAAAAAAAAAAATGTAATTCATATTTTTTGGAAAATATATGTTACCCTTCTCTTTTTCCACACGTTTGTTTGACACGTAAGATTTGGGACAAAGTCAAGTAGGCAACAAATATCAGCAAAATGAAAATGAAAATTAAAGCTGTAGCGCATTTGATTTTGGACCGTGGGTGAAACTTGCCCCTGGCAATCCTGACCAACAAAAAATTATAAGAAGTTAGACAGCTTAGATTGCATATCGTGGCCTAGACAAAAAGTTAAACTTTAAACATTATAGTTACTAAATTAATTATTAATTATGTGACTAATTTGACTGAATTGGCCAAGTTATAGCCATATATATATATATATATATATATATATATATACTTATGTTAACCCAACTTCATCCAATTATTCCCAAGTCTATAAAATTCTGCTCCTAGAACCACGGCAAAGATAAATTGTGAGTGTAGCAATTAGCCCATCGGTCAGATCCTAATTTTCAAGTGCTCACAAGGGTCATGTTTCACGTGGGATTCGGACATCCATGTTGCAGCCTTTAGTTGTAACATCAAGTCAACAACAAATCACTATTAAGTCCCGGAGCGAAGAGACAAGGTTCAAACATAACAATGTAGAGATTATATTAAAGTGGACAGATCCCTTGTGCACGCACAATATTTGGTTCTATCTGCTGAGACATTGAGTCACTGTAATTTACATCTACCAAAATGTTCTTTTGAGTTGGGGTTGCGAATTCAACCTTTAATTTGGGAGAAGTCCGGTCCGGGGGCGAGCCGTAGCCTATTTATTAGTATGCATGCTTGTATTGAAACATACACTGGGCAGTTTAATTAGTTTCAATTCAACCGTACCCCCAGACCTCTCTCTCATTATATTGCATTCTTATATTATACTAGTTTTTTTAATCTGTTCCTCGACGATCCCGGGCTTGAGTGAGTCATGGATTCGCAGGAATGGATTATTTTCATACTCCTGAGTTTACATCTTTGTTCCGCCACCATAGCCGCCGACAACATAGATCCCAATTACGAATGGCACCAGTGCGGAACGAGTGGGAACTACACTCCAAACAGCACATACGACAACAACCTCAACACACTTCTGTCGTCCCTCTCAAACAACGTAAACCAATACGGATTCTACAACGGTTCCGTTGGGCAAGACTCGGAGAGGGCTAGCGCCGCCGTGCTATGCAGAGGGGACGTTGAACTGAGCGTATGTCGTAGCTGTGTTAGCGACAATGCTGTGAGGATTAAACAGTGGTGTCCTAATCAGAAGGAGGCATTCCGGTGGTACAACATCTGCAGTATATATTACTCCCATGAATCCATCATAGGTTCTTTGCGAACCACTCCTGAAATCGAACAACATAGTATCACCCCTGTTCAGAATCCTGGTCAGTTTAATCAGGATTTGACAAGCCTGGTAGACAGACTAAGAAGACAAGCCGTGAATGGCGGTCCGTTCCTCAAGTACGCGGCTAATAGTACGGCGGGACCGGACTCCCAGACCATATATGCGTATGTGCAGTGCACCCCTGATTTGTCTGTTCGCGATTGCGAAAATTGCCTGAAGAGTGCTTTCGCTCTATGGAATAAATCGAAGGGTAATGGGATGATAGGGGCAAGAGTTCTGCGTCCCAGCTGCTTTTTTCGCTATGAGATTAGCCCCTTCTTCGGTGCCTCGCTCATTAACGGATCTCATTCAACACCTCAACCACTTCCACCACCACTAGCTTCGCCTTCACCTGCTTCTTCTCCTCCTCCGCCACCGCAGTCAGGTAAACTTTTTGTGCAAGGTCTTACATGACATAATTAACTTCTTTTTTCAAAATTTGTAACATGGAGTGCTCAGACCACCTGATCTAAAGTCATCATTCCAGGCTTCCCGTCCTAATTAAGGACAATAGGGTGGCCGGGGTTTGACTCCCACCAACAATAGTTAGGACGTACTCTTCAGTGGTCCATCTTGCATTGTATTGTGGACTTTGGTGTAAATTTATTAATTGTAACACATAATTTGAATTAATCATTTTAGACCAGGCTTAGACCACCCTACCTAAACTCATCATTCCTCGCCGTAAGGACAGTAGGGTGGCCGGGATTTGACTCCCACCAACAATATCTTAAAGTTAGGACTCTTCACTGGTCCATCATGCATTGTATTGTAGACTTTGGTGTAAATTTATTAATTGTAACACATAATTTGAATTGATATTTTAGACCAGAGTCTATAATGTAGGATGAACTCTGATCCATGGTATAATTTGTTAGGTTCTAAGGTCTTAAAATTAAGCTGAGAAACTTAATGTATTAAAAAAAAAAAAAAAAAAAAATCTAACATGGTACATGCATGGCAGTACTAAATTTCTTATCTGAAACTAATCCAAAGATTTTGTTTTTGTAGGGAAAGATGGTAATAAAGCCCCAACAGTAACCATTGCTGCTTCAATTGCGGCGGGACTAGTTCTTGGTGTCATCATCTGATCCAGTTAAGGCTCAAGAAGCACGAAGGAGAAGTTGCAGTTTAGAATAATTTGTGTTGAGCTGTTATGCTCTGTTGAGTGTTGAGTGATCCTCCAAGGAATACAGTTATGTTTGTTTGTTAGAATTATGAGGTTTTTGAGTGCATCTTGAGTGGAGATAGAATTTAATTGTGATTTTTTACTTTTAATCATAGACTTATGTTACTCAATAATAAATTGAGCTTTTGTATTGATATATTTGCTGTGTGCCCTTATATTCTTTAACATATAAATACCTCTATGAAAGATCCGGACCACGTCGTGATTTACACCAAAATAAATAAATATAAATACCTCTGTACTGCACTTGGATAAAAATAATGGATCGGAATTATTCATAGCTCTTTATTTTTTCTTTATTAGACTAATTTTATATTAATTAATGTGATGCTTGCATCTTGCAAGATGAAGTTGCTTACATCATGCCATTTATTTATTTTTTATTTTAAAAAAAAAACCATGTGGCTATACTTCCGAAAATCATAATGTATTTGGCTAAATTTGTTAATTGTTAGTTTATCATTATTTTGTTGTTATTATTATTATTATTATTATTATTATTATTATTATTATTATTATTATTATTATTAAAAGTACGTTAGAATTGCATAGATGTAAAAAAAATAGTTAGTGAATTGCAAATATAATTATTATTGTTATTATTATTATTATTATTATTATTATTATTATTATTATTATTATTATTATTATTATGATCAACTTTTAAAAAAAAAAAGGAAATAGTATGATGATCAACTTTTTAAAGTGAGAGAGTACATTATTGTAGATATAAACAAAGTCTAATAAGAAATGAAATGTGATCAACACTTGGTTAAAAGCTAAGGCAAATTATTGTGTGGACCATGAGATACACATATATGGGACTTGAACAAATACTTTTAATCACTAGTATAAATATGACCAAACACATCTATTGTATAGTACTCCGTAAATGATAATACACAGTATACTTCGAATTTTTGCAATGGTGTAGTATACGGCTCTGTTTGGCAGAGCTTATTTAGGAGCTTATAACTTATTTTAAGCTACTAATAAGCTATAATTCTGTTTGGTAATGTTCTCAAAATAAGCTCATAGCTTAAAATAAGAGCTTATTTTGGAACGCAGGTAGCGTTTCAAAATAAGCTCCTAACTTCCTAACTTTTTTTCTATCTTTATCCTTATTATTTTTAAAAAATGACATAATTTATCCTTTCCAATTAAAACTTTTTTCTCTTATCCTTTATCCGCAACTTTCACTGTAATTATTATTATTATTATTATTATTATTATTATTATTATTATTATTAGATTTGCAACAATATTGCTACTTCATTATGAGCTGCTAGATAATGATTATGCTAATAGTTTTATTTTAAAATGTTAATTTTTTGAAAGACAAAAATGTTAAATTTTAATATGTAAAAAACTAATTTAAACTTTATGAAGATGCCCTTTTAGTCTTTTTACATTTATCAGCTTATCAAAAAGTTAATTTTACCAAACACTTTCAATCATAACAGCTAGTTTAACAGCTCTTCAGTTTTCAGCTCCGAACTTATAGCTTTTCAGCTTTCAGCTCCTAACTTATATCTTTTCAGCTAGGTTTGCCAAACAGAGCCTACTTCAATTCTTACACGTAAGGTCACTATCCTCCATTAATGATGATGACTTTTCAAGATTTCACATCCAATGTATCAATATAATTACTTCTATTATAAATGTCATGTAACAAAGTATAAGTTTATGAATTGACTAATTGATTAAAAGTATATAATACATTATTATGATATTAGAAAAAATAATAACACCCTTAGTGAGAATTCTTTACACGAAACAAGACTTTCCTGTCAAAATAAACCTCATTGGTTTTCCAATTTTTCAATTTCCACTGCGAACTTTTTCTTTAATTTGGAATTCTTCTTACAAGTTTAGTTGAATAAGCAATTGAAGACGTAGTTTTATATATATATATATATATATATATATATATATATATATATATATATATATATATATATATATATATATATATATATATATATATTTGTGAATTGATAAGTTCTATTATTTTGTACAAATTAATTAAATGAAAATATTTTATTTAAATGTGTGTAAATTCTTATGCATTAAAATTATTTATTATAAAAGTCTCAACTTAGGCATAATTGTACATATCTTACTTCAATTTTTTTATGACAAAATTAAATTGAATTATATAACTACGCCTTCGCTTTCAAAAAAAAAAAAAAAATATATATATATATATATATATATATATATATATATATATACACGCGTGCGTACACACTTATACATTAACATGCAAAGTGAGCACGTATCAAATATTTTTCTTACACTAAAGAAAATTCAAAAGTTGCTCACTTAAAAGTGACTCTCAATACTCAGGAAGTCAATACAATATTAAAAGAAAATCAAAGTTGTAGTAAATGTGTACTGATTGCGTATGATTGTTCAACAATATAATGTTATTTCGCTCCATGTTGTGATCAAATCCAAGTGCTTGAAATAGGAAATACTAAGCAATATTATTCAAATTCTTTATTTGTACTCTTTGTTAATGTTATTTGAGTTCATTAATTTAAAAAAAGAAATAGTTATCATATATTTTATTATTTTTTAAATATACACTAAACATTTTGGAAAAAAATAACATAAAAAATTAGGCAGGTATTGGCTAAATAGTTGGGTAGGTCCAAGGAATTGAAGTCTATACCTATGATATTCCAATTGAAAAATATTACTAGGTCATTTTTCTATGTTGGTTGGCACTCGACATCAAAGAATTTTCTTAATGCGTGATAACTTCATAACTTATTGGATGGTTGGGTCAATGTTTCATTATTTACAAAAAAAAATTTCACAATCACTATTTGAAGTCCTTATACTTGTAAAGGTACAATGGATTTTGTTTGTTCCATATTGGTGTGTAAACATAATTCGTGTTTTATATTCAAAATTCTTATATAAGAGTGAAGTTTACCTAGTGTACACCCTCAAACAGTAGCAACATGTTTTTCACATTATTACCAGAAAATAAAACACACATACTCTATTATTAGCCCCTCATCTACATACCATCATAATTATATTATTACATTCATTATTAGTATTGCTTACTTTACTCACTACACTAAATTGAAAATAATTGAATTATAAGAAGTTTTTAGTTTTTAATATAAAATGAAAATTTTAATTTTTTTAAAATAAAATTGGAAAGGCCGGTAACTAAACAAAAATTTTCAATATATCATTATCATTTTTATCAATCCAAAAGAAAAAAGAAAAAAGAAAAAAAAAAGGTCTGAAATCAACAATAGTAAACAAGAAGAAAATTTGTGGAATTTTGTGAGTGTCGTGTTTGAATTGGCATTTACATCATTTTTCCACAAGCTCGCGGTGGGAAAGGGAATAAAGACTTTGAGAGACGACCAAGTTCATGCATTAAATAACTGATTAAAGTATGTTGAAATAACTTGGGGTTGGAATGCTATTTAAGGGTAAACTAGTATTTGTGCCGTGGCAAATATGTTATAAAAATATACCCTATATGAGGTTTATTTATATATAAAAATTTTGTTATTTAATAATTATGTGTGAATTGCTATGATAAAATTATGAACATAAATATATTTACAATTTAAATAAGAATTGGTATTTAAGGTGGTTGATTACTACAAATCTTAAACTATATTAAAAATTTAGTACATAGTATTTAATATTACAAATTTTTTAGAATTTAATAAACTACAATAGTAATTGAATTACAATTTTCAGAGTCACCGCGGATCAAATTTTTTAGACCTTTGAGATTTCTAGAGTTAGAAATCTCAAAGGTCTAAAAATTTTGATTCGTGGTGATTCTGAAAATTGTTAGAAATCTCAAAGGTCTAAAAATTTTGATCCGTGGTGACTCTGAAAATAGTTAGAAATCTCAAAAGTCCAAAAATTTTGATTCGTGGTGACTCTGAAAATTGAAATTCAATTACTATTGTAGTTTATTAAGTTCTTAAAAATTTGTAATATTAAATACTATGTACTAAATTTTTAAGATTGACCTCATTAGAATAATCTCAATTGAAGTTTATTTGTGAGTTTTTGGATAGATTGGATGAGGCAAGAGAGATGAAAATAAATTAAGGTTAATTTGAATTTTTATGCACCATGTTATAAATAAATAAATAAATAAATCTTAACTATAATATAACCATATGATTTGGAACAATAATTGATCACCAAATCATATGGTTATATTATAGTTAGTAGTCTTGAGCAATTTAGATTTTTAAAGAGTACCTAAAATTTGGACAAAATCATTCACAAAAAAGACCATAAAGAGTCATTTTGCTAACAACTCAAGGATTAAAAACGTTGACACCCTAACATATGGATTGAAGAGTAACGAAAATTTTGACTGGTACATCAATAGAAAGCCAAACGTGTTACTTCCTTAAGAACTCAATAACTAAAAGGAGTAATACCCATAACGTAGAGATTGAATGTACTATTATTTTAGGACAGAAAATATAATTTCCCCTTCTTTTATACTTTAATATAAAAATAAGATTTCAGCTAGTTCAAGATACAAGAAGAATTTTAACTTGATCGGATAGTTAGCTTGGTAATTACAAGTGGTCATATATATGGTTTACCTCCTAAAGGAAGAATTCTGACACTCATCATTATTCAATAAGCTCGTGGACAGGGTGAGTTGGCGACAGGAGAGAAACGTACGTGTGTAATATCTTCTACCTTTATGATATGATTCAGGTTGAATATGTCCTGTCCGTAGCTTATTTGATTAACTAGCTAGCATGCTTGAACAGATTGAAACTTAGTACTAGGTAGTTTGGTTTCAAGCCTGCCGTGACCTTTTTTTGCATTCTTTCTTATTTTCACTATACTAAGCTAGTTTTTAATCCTTGAATTGTCTGCAGATCTTCTGGGGTTGATCCACTAACGGCACTAAGTGGCCATGGATTTCCAGAAATGGATTGTTGTTTTCCTAATCTTGAGTTTACATGTTTGTGCCACCGGCGCTGAAGATATAGATGTTAATTACGAATGGCATATTTGTGGAAGGAACGGGACTTACAGTCGAGACAGCGCATACCGCAAGAACCTGCAGGACAACCTTTTACCATCCCTCTCAAACAACGTAAATGAATATGGATTCTATAACGGCTCCGTTGGGCAAGGATCAGAGAGGGTTAGCGCTATTGTGCTGTGCAGAGGGGATTCTGATATTAATCTATGTCGGAGCTGTGTTAGTGATAATGCTCGGAGGATTTTAGAGTGGTGTCCAACTCAGAAAGAGGCATTCCGGTGGTACAACATCTGTAGTATATATTACTCCGATGAATCCATCATAGGTTCCCTGCGAACCACTCCTGAAATTACTCAATATAGTAGCATCAGTCTGGAGCATCCTGCCCAGTTTAATCAAAATTTGACAGACATGGTAGACCGCCTGAGAACACAAGCCGCTGCCGGCGGTCCATTCCTCAAGTACGCAGCTGATATTACAAGTGGACCAGACCAACATACCATATTTTCATATGTGCAGTGCACCCCTGATTTATCTGTTCGTGATTGCACTGATTGCATAAACACTGCTATCGATCTGTGGAATAAATCGGATGGCAATGGCAGGATAGGGGCAAGAGTACTGCGTCCCAGCTGCTTTTTTCGCTATGAGATTAGCCCCTTCTTCGGTACCTCGCTGATAAATGAATCTGTTTCAACACTTCCACCACCACCAGGTGAACTTTTTTTTTTTAATACATTAAATTTTCCCGTTTAGGCTAGACTAATCCCCTCATAACCCTTGTCCAAGAGTCGACAGAAGAGGTAAATCAGGAGTCGTCTAAAGAGCCTCTAATCAGTCCCGGGCCTTTCATTGACTTTGCACACAAAAGATCCATTATTTCCGCATACACTTCTGCCAACTTGTAAAGTTCAAGTTTTGTATATCATTGTGAGATTAATAAAGTGTTTTTTTGGACAGGGAAGGATGGTAATAAAACAGTCATCATTATTGTAATTGTAGTTGCCATTGCTGCGGGTCTCATCGGGGTTGCTATTTGCATTTTTGTCATCTTAAGAAAAAGGCAAACAAGGAAGGCCAATAGCTTTGTAAAGAGTAAGTGTAAGTTTCAATTAGACTTTAAATTGTAACTTAATTGTTCATACACTTAGCTTTAATGTTTGAGTTGAATCTCAAAAGATCATTCTTGGTTTCTATGTGAAGGTCCAGAAGAAACTAGCTCTACTGTTGAAATTAGTACTGTGGAGTCCCTGAAGTATGATTTGATTACCATACAAAATGCCACAGATAACTTCTCTGAAGCAAACAAGTTAGGAGAAGGAGGTTTTGGACCTGTATACAAGGTAAATTTAGCATTAACTTTACTAATTAATAGTTATAATGATATTCTATATTCTATAACTTATAACTTTTTTTTTAGTAAAATATTAATTTGGAAATAATTAGGGTAAACTTGAAAACGGGCTAGAAATTGCGGTGAAGAGGTTATCCGAAAATTCAAGGCAAGGTAATTTAGAATTTAAAAATGAGGTGGCTTTAATGGCTAGGCTTCAGCACAGGAATTTGGTAAGGCTACTTGGTTACTGCCAGGAAGGAAGAGAAATGATTCTCATCTATGAATTTGTCCCCAACGGTGGCCTTGACCACATTTTATTTGGTAATATAGTTCTCAAACCCGTGTTTCCCTTTTGTTTATAAATTTGAATCCATATCTTATTAGTTAAGAAATGTTGCATTTTAGATCCTATAAAATATGGATATTTGGATTGGGGGAGGCGCTACAAAATCATAGAAAGCATTGGCAGAGGGCTTGTTTATCTACATGAAGACTCTCGTCTTCGTATTATTCATCGCGATCTCAAAGCAAGTAACATTCTACTAGATGAAGATTTGAATCCAAAAATTGCAGATTTTGGCATGGCTAGGTTGTTTACTTTAGATGAAACTCAAGGTTCTACAAGCAGAATCGTTGGAACATAGTAAGTACTCTACTAATCTAATTTTTAGCTGGAAGATGATGCACTCAAAGTAATTTTATTAGTTAAATACTAGAGTAACACATTCAACCACTTGGCATTGCAGTGGATATATGGCACCAGAGTATGCATGGCAAGGTTTATTTTCTATTAGATCAGATGTATATAGTTTTGGAGTGTTAGTCCTGGAAATTATAAGCGGACAAAAGAATACCAGTTTTCAAAACGGAGAATCTATGAAAGACCTTCTAAGCTATGTAAGTATGAATATCAGTCCTGATGTGTGTATGAGTAACAAATTATATTGACATAAATAAATTGTGAGTGTTGTTACAGGCTTGGACACATTGGAAAGGTGGGTCTGCTTCAAATGTTATGGATCCAATGCTGAGGGGTACATCTAGTCCAGTGCATGAGATAACAAAATGCATTCACATTGCCTTGTTGTGTGTTCAAGAAAATGTTACAGATAGACCAACAATGACTGAAGTTCTTCAAATGTTAAGTAACTTAACTATGAGCCTTCGAGTACCCTCAGCCCCTGGATTTTTTATCCATAGCAGCGTTAGTTCAGAGGTGTCGAATCAGTCTACCAAAAATGAGATGTCAATAAGTGAGCAGTTTCCCAGATAGCATCCGAAGTGATACCAAAATGATCAATTCAAGCACATCATGTGGTTGCTCATTGCTTTTGCTTTTAGTTCTGTATTGTTTTTGTAATATTGATAATATTTGTCTGAGAGTTTGTTCTTCATACTATTGTCCATCTTGCTGCTAATATTTTGTAGAGTTTTTATTGTTTGGAATGTTCATTGGCTGCTCTGTTTAATCTGCATATGGTTTTGGTGTTTAGTAGTTTGTAACATCTTGATTGTGTCCTGTTTTATACGTTGCAGTCATTTTCGGGGTAAATCATGATATTAACTAATTAAAGTGTACAAATAGTGCTAGTCATTATTTATTTAGCTCCATAGTATGTATGTATCAGCCTCGGAAGTTATAAGTATGTTGAAGAATTTATCTTTTCAACACATACATACACCGCATAATTAATCTACAAAATATATTACTTACTTTACACAGCTCAACTGATTGACTAATTTAAAAAGGGAAAATGGCACTTTTTACCCCTGAGTTATATACTTATAGCACTTTTTCCCCCTCAATTATTTAGGTAAGCACATTAGCCCCCTCAATTATTCTAAAAGTGGTGCCTTTTCCCCCTAATATATTAAATTGACATTTATACCCTTAAAGTAAACATTTTATTTATTTTATTACTCCAACAAATTATTGCGTATACGTAGGGAAGACCACGGTTCGGTTTGAATTGAACCGAATACTAAAGCAATCGAATTAATAGTTTACGGTTATAATTCAGATCTAGAACCCAATATTTAAATATCAATTTATTAAAATTATGTATCAAAAAAATTGAATCTTGAACCGTGAACCGGCGGTTCCGGATCTGATTCGCGATTTTGAACCGTCTTTATTTTAAAATTTTATTTTTTATTTTAAAATAGTCTAAATTAAACAATAAATGTATTTTATTTTTTCAGTTCGGAACATGAACCATCCGTTCCGGTTCACGATTTTAATGAACTCTTAAATATCGAATTTTGATTCTAAATTGTAATTGGAATATTTCGGTTTGGTTGCTATGGTGTTTGTTTAGTTTGAACCAAATTATGGTCATAATTTGTTGGAAAAAAAAATAAATTTAATATTTAGTTTAAGGGTAAATATGTCCATTTAACATTTCAGGGGGAAAAACAGCCACTTACTTTACACAGCTCAACTGATTGACTAATTTAAATCAAATTAAATACGTGTACGTGTAAATAGTAAATTATTAAAGACAACTAAGATTTACCTCGTAATTTCCTACCACGACACTATTACTATTAGTCTATATTCATTATAATTATTGATTTGCTATTTTTACTACAAAGTATTAAAATGAGTTAATTTTATTTTTTTGGGAGAAGAGTTAATTTTATTTTTTGTCCTAGATTTATGTGTCAATTCACTTTTAGTCTTTTTTTTTTTTTAAATATCAATCTTTGTTCTAGTATTATTGTGGCATGATCATTTTTGTTCATTTGTCTGCAAAACCGGTTAAATGACATTAAATACAAGAGTATTTTGATTTATTCAGTTCTAAGTGTTAAGTTTTTTTTTTTTTTTCGGTCCTATATTTATATGTGTCATTCATTTCTAGTCTTTTTTTTTTCTTCAAAAGATCCTCGTTGATCCTATCATTATTCTGGCACGATCGTTTTTTGTCATCACTGACATTATTAACCACTCAAAATTCTCTTCTTCTTTCTTTCCTTCTTGGTAATAAAATTGTTATCAATACGTAAGTCAACTGCAAAATCCAAAAAAATGCAATTTTCAACCACAAGTCTGCTACTTCATGACAAACCATAAATCTAGTGCATAAGTCTACTTCATAAAAATTCACAAGATTTGTGGTTCTATTACCAAGAAGGAAAAAAATGAGGATTTTGTGTGATTAATAACGCCATTTTAAAGTCATCTAAACATATTGGTTGACTGTGGACAAAAGATGATCATGTCACAATAATGTTAGGACAAATAGGGATGTTATGAAAAAAAAAGGGACTAAAATAGAATATAACATATACGGAGTATAAATTTAAGACCATAAAATGAAAAGGGACTTGATACTTAGAACTGAATAGATCAAAATGTTATTGTATTTAACATTATTTAAACGATTTTGTTGATAGAGGACAAAAAATTGTCATGCTATAAAAATACTATGACCAAATAGGATATCTAAAAAAACACTATGTAAACTGACACCTATAACAATAGTATGACCAAATAGGAGTAATGTTTTCCACTTTTCCACCATACGAGCCTTTTAGCCCGTTACATAATTAACATTTGATCAAAGGCATAATTATACAATTCTCTCCGTCCGTCGTGAAAATATATGAGAAATATTGTACAACTAATTATACCTAAATTAGTAGTTTTATATTTTTGAAACACGATACGATTGTATTACAGTATAAATAATTTAGATGCATACAAAATTTTACAGTAATTTCATTTTATTATTTTACACAAAATAATAGAACTAATAATTAATTTACAAGTTATATAAAAAAAATGTAAATTTATAAACATGCAATTTTATTGCAACAAATACTTTTCAAACACTAAATAAAATTCTAATTTCTAAAGTTATGTAAAGGCGGCTTCCAGGAAATAGAAGATAATACGGAGTAAGGAAATATTGTAATTTATGCATCGCACAAATATGTCAATTAAATTATCAATGTTATCCTTATATTATTAGTTGTGTAAATGTTGCTTTTAAATTTTTAAAACTTGATATATATTGAGAAACAATGTTGTCGGCTGAAGGAGAACAAACGGAGAACAAATAAATTGAAGAAAAAAAAAACGTGGTCTTCAAACAGGGAAAACAGCGGACAACCATATTTACACCAATAATACTTCAGGGAAGAGGCAATATATGTAATATTTTCAAAATTGAAAGACAATATTTACACTACTAATAATTTATGTATAACATTGATAATTAGTATATTTGTGAGGAACATAAATTACCATTCTTTTTTACGGAGTAATATATTAAAATAAAATCAAATAAAATAATTCCATGTGGTTGTTAGATCAGTGTTCAATGATGTGATGTTCATCGGATTCTCGCAGTGTTGCTAGATGGTCCCACCAATGTGGGTAGGGTGGTGACCAAAAGCTTAACAATTAAGCTTGGAAGATGAAGTGACAGGTTTTTTGATTAATGGCTTCATTCATGTCCACTTAATGGGAGATTAAAGTGGGCAAATGAAAAGACAAAAGAGTTGGCTTTGTAAAGCCTATATAAAGGCCATGGATTTGGCTACCTTGGACATGAGAGAGTTCAAGAAGAAGAAAAAGAGAGGAGAGAAAATTTGTGTGAGATATACAAGTGTGAGAAAATTAGCCGAGAAGAAGTTGGTGGATTTCGTAGAAATTCTTGTGCCTCGGGGTATGTTGTTTTCTCTTGTATTGTGTTGCCTCTAATCGTTGAATTAGAGAAGTCTCCTCTGTTGTACCCATTATCTATATAGTGGAAGGTTTACTGGCTTGTGCCCGTGGTTTTTTACTCCTTACCTTGAGAAGGTTTTTCCACTTTAAAATTCTTGGTGTTCTTTTTGGTGCCGTTTATTTATTTTCATTGTGCTAATTATATATTCTTGTGAACTTTCTTCCCAACACGCAGGACCTTCATTTTTCCACAAGGACCACAACATACATCGTGTAAGCTGAAAATAATGTAATTATAAAGTTTGAAGAAAAATGAGTTTATATTATTCTTTCTTTTAAGTAAGAATTAAATGTGGTGTGCATACAATTTGAATCGAATCTAGATTAGTCTTACAAAATTATATGAATTTTTGTACTTAAATTTCTTATATAGGAGCAAAGTTTATCTAGTGTATGTACATCATTAGATAATAGCAACATGTTTTGCGCATCACCAACAAAAAATACAGTACACACACTCTATTGTATATTAGCCACTAATCTACGTACCATCAATCCAGTACACACACTCTATTGTATATTAGCCACTAATCTACGTACCATCAATCCATCATAATTACATCCATTATTATTATTGCCTACTTTATTCACTACAATAAAGAATTAATTTCACTTTTGGTCCCACGACTTTTGATGTTCTATCACTTTTGGTGCACAACTTTAAAATTTTTTAATTTTGGTGCCTAACTTTGTTATTTTTATCAATTTTGGTCCTTTCGGCCAAATTGACTGTGAAATGTTGTTGGATTTTATATTGTTAGGGGTAAAATCTTCATCCCAAGGAAACATCTTCAATATCTAAACAAGATCACCGTAAAATCATATCTATAGGTGTTTGATGATGAGAATAATGGGGAAGATGGGCAGAAACCAGACAGATCTATGGGATTTATAGTTTCGACCATTGGCAAACTCTTCTTTTCCTCTTAATATGATTTTTCTTTTGTTTAAATATTGAAGATCTTTCCATGTGATGACGATTTTGCCCCTAAAATATAAAATCTGGAAATATTTTACCGTCAATTTGGCTAGAAGGACCTAAACTGATAAAAATAACAAAGTTAGGCACCAAAATTGAAAAAATTCAAAGTTGTGCACCAAAAGTGATAAGAACTCAAAAGTCGTGGGACCAAAAGTGAAATTAATTCCTACAATAAATTACAAATTTGATAAATTAAAATAAGTTTTAAAAAAAAAAAAAAAATCGAAAGGTCAGTAACTAAAAAAAAATTCAATATATCATTATCATTTTTATCAATCCAAAAGAAAAAAGAATAAAAAGGTTTGAAATCAACATTAGTAAACAAAAAGAAATTAAAATTTGTACACACATGAAAACTAGGATCTAGTTAGTAGGTTAATTGCACAACTCATGAGGACTCTAAAAATAGGGATTTATGGATTTAAAAAGGTAATTCTATTTAGGTGCAAATAAAAATGTGTACCACCTTAAATGTAGTCAAACATTAAATGTTAATTATTTATTTTTATTTAATAACCAAACTATTAATTTTTTTTAAAAAAAAAAAAACAAAAAAACTAAACCCCTTGCCTTCTCACGGAAGGCGATGGGCTGGGTTGCCTTTTCCGGTGAGAACGCATGCAGCCCAGTGGGTCGCCTTCTCACCGGAGAAAGCGACCCAGGTAGCCTTCTCCGGTGAGAAGGCAGCCCATCAAGTGGGTTGCCTTCTCACCGGAGATGGGCATGCCTTCTCATCGGAGAAGGCTCTGGTTTCGTTTTTTTTTTATTTTTTGTT